CTTTTTGCATCCAAACATTACGCGAAGCTAGCCAACTTCCCATGCACGTACTCTGCCGTGAAACGGTCTATTTCGCAGCCCAATGACCATGTGTGTGCATTCCGTCCCCTGCAGGGTTGATCCATTTCACTATCATTAATATTAACTAAGAGTGAATCACCTAGACAGTGATTCCCAGGTTTACGGTGCATCTGTTCTTTTCTCCTTGGGCAATGAATTTCCTTTCGTAATCTCTTCAAACCCATTTACATCTAGGTTCACTAACTCTATTTTAGCTTTGTGTTGTCAATAGTTCGATATCAGCGTAACTGTGTCACATCTAACTGTAGATTTTCTGTTCTGATTTTCATTATTTATGCGCTATTTGTTTCTTCTCCGGTTTTACGCGAGCTTTACTCTTTCTTTCGCTCACTGCCATCTGAGTACCGGTCCGTTGCTAGCGGTTATGCCGGTTCTCATTTCAAATTATGCTTAGTATAGTCTGATTCGAAATATATATATATATATATATATTGCGTTGCCAGACTGTGGGAATGAGTAAAACTCCTACTGTTCATTTGCGCTTTTCCAACTGGTCTTAGATCTCTTATCACCTAGTTCTAAGTGTGTGCATGATGGATTTTCCTATTCTCCTTTTCTTCACCAAATAACGCCCGTATCGATCAAGCGTGTTTATTATTTCCGGCGTAAACTGTCTCCCTGGTTTTCCTGATTAGGGTTCTCTCCCGTTTTCCAATGGACCATACGTGTGTGCGCGCGCGCATATTTGGATTGATTCAAATCGGATGCTCCATGGCATGCGTTTTACTTAATACCGTCAAAATATGATTACTAGCTAGGTCGTTTTCTCCCTGTACAGTTGTCTTCGTTGTTTACAATGAAAATAAAGCTCCGCATGCCATTTCCATCGCGGGAAAGTCTTTTGTTTTTAACATATATTTTCCGACGAATAAAGTACGCGTGTTTTTTTATTTATCCCATGCTTATCAACTGATATCATAATGTTTGCAAATACCGACTTCATTTTTGTAGATCTCAATCTTGTTTAACCAGCCATCAATAAGGAGCACTTGAAGCAAGTCGAAAATCAACGAACTTCCCAGAAATGCGACCAACACATTTAAATCGATAAACAGACCGTGGTATTCAATTCAAATGAACCAGATACTCGAACAATGCTTAATTGATGTTCTTTTGCGTAAAACATAGTGTTAGATCCTGATGCCCCCCCCCCCAAACCGATACTTTCCAGTGCTCCTTGACATCCTTTACACACAAAATTTAGCATTAACAACAAACTAGTGAATAACACTTTAAGAGCTCCTCATATCGATCGATATATCATTTCCACGAAACGTTTAACCCCTTTTACGCTTCCATCTACTTATCCAGACTTTGCCATCCCTTGCAAACAAACCGCTGTGATCAATTCCGAATTGGCTAGTCAACCAGATGTACTTCTTCAATCCGCCTACGATTTGAGTCGCCGAATGAACTTATCCGTACACCGATTCTACCTCTACGTCGAATCCCTCATTCCGCAACTCAGTTCACAGTTGACCTGTGCTCTCACACACTCTTCCGGTTCGGTAGGGCCTGCGAAACCATCCTTCCCGTCTGTCATTTTACCCGTGATTGCGGTCACAGTGGCACAACTGATGCAGATCGGTAGCTTACTGGAAATTCTGTTCCACACGACACAGTCAGTGATGGAAGTGATACGCGCCAATTCTTCGCGTCTCTACGAAGGACACTTACCTCAACTCACATCAAATTCGTTGCCCGTGCTTGCATCGGAACTGAATAGTAATAATTGTAACAGTAGTAGTTGTATTGCAGTGACCTCGAACCAGCCCCCCTCGATGCTTCCCATACTCAAGATACGTTTGCCCAACGGAGTTCGATTGTCTCGTATTATGGGATGTTTAAAACGGTTGCTTGCTCTTTTGGAAAAGACGCGATCCTTGATTCCGGTAAGTTTTGGTGAAACGATAGTTTTTAAACTTCATCCTCATTCGCTTTGTATAATTTTGGCCAAATTCTGTAGGAAAACTCTGGACTTGTTTTCGGAATGGGAATTTGTACTCATCATTCGGGCACTCATCCTCGATTAAATTCGGTCATGGAAGCTTGGAAAACTTTTCTGTTGCTCAACTCAGTTCCACTTCAACTCCATTGAGACCTTACACAATTCCGTGCTCTGTCTCAAAGTTTTAATTCCTGGTATCCATGCATCGACGGTAAAATTTCCCGAGAGTGACAATTGAAAACAAACATTTTCTACCGAATTTCCTTTCAGATAAGTTGAAGAACCTCCGTAGCATACACAGACCAGAAAAAGATCGCCTGCAACTCGCGGACCATGCAGTTAAATGACGCCTATCATTTAGTGCTCGGAAGGTTCATTTTAGCCTACGTTGTCCGTTTGATTTATCCCGTCAAATAATACTAACTGGCTTGAATCGATAAATCACAAACCTAAATCACACATAGCATCGTTTCAAAAATGTGTATTCCTTCTTCCTTCTTTATTGTTGAATGTATACAAATGTACAGTCAACTTTCAGCAAGGGGCCGCAGCTATAAAAAGACTGCCTGCGAAAATTCAGAAATGTGGAAGTCGGGTAGCGGTGAAGCAGTTCGAATCCGGGAGCTCCGGGTCACAATTTAGTAAATTATCCACTTGGCCACTGCACCCCTATTAGTGCATGCTGCAGTCAATGTGATTTCATAGTCAGTAAAATAGCGTACAGCTGAAACATGCGATGAACAAAGATCTTGAAATGGTCACGTCCTCGAGTGTCTCGAAAGGACTTAGACCTTCGATTACGCAACACCTATATGAGTAACATCATTGTATCACTCTAACCCATACGCTTCAGGTTATTCATTGCCGTGAACTGAAAAGCTAGGATGCTCCATACAGTTGTTTTCGACTTGATCAGATCTGATCCATTACTGGAACTTGCCGAGGCAGCTCTCCAGCCAGAATCACCAACCCGATCTACGCAGACAACATGCATGGTTGATCACATTAGAATTGTTTTGTTCATTGACTTCACTTTTTCGTTTGGTTATTTTTTTTCTGTTGTCTTCGTTTTCGGTTTTTGGTCTTACTGGTTGCCTATAGTTATCTCGAATGCAGTTTGCACGTGTACAGATGTGGCAAAATGATCATTGGTACATTGTGCAAACCCATGCATGTTAAATTTTNTTAAATTTTTGCATGGAAAAACTGTCTTCAATGCTATTTCATTTGCTGGTTGATCATTAAATTCACAAAAGTAGGCCCAAATGTCATCAAGAGCAGGAATTCGTAAGATGAGTTGCAATAAGCATTTAGCTAGAGCCAACAAAGCAACGTATTTCGCAGGACCACTGTCCGAATTTTCTGCGTTAGCTTTGATTGCCCCTTGTTTAGCTGATCAACGTGCTTTTCTACTTGATGATAACGAAATATACGGAATTGAAACTTGAATCCCGCGTTTCCTAAAACCAGGACATCATAGATGATAGAGTCCTGTCAAATGTTTCCCCCATGTAACAGAACATGTCTACTGAGTGTTATGCTCCGTTGAACGTCGACCGGGTTGTAGGCACCGTTGAGATGAATTGGTACTCTGTTGAACACTAACAAAGTAAAATAAATACATGTTTCATGCACTCAAGATCTAAATTTTCCACAGTTTTGTGAAATGGAGAATAGTTGATATGGAGAAGGAAACCCACTAGAATAGTAAATTTTTTGTCTAGGTAGATGCTAGCCTCAGAATTGTTTCTTACACAAATGAAGGTTGATTTTCGATTAACCCAATTATGTATAGATTAAGTGATGGCTCCGTGTGTAGGTGGATGTGCGTTCCTAGTGAAGTTGATGCTTCAAGTGTACTCGGACGTGAGACGTATACCATAAAGTAAGCATTACCATTTGGATTACGAGTTGTTCTCGCTCTAAACCTACAACACGTATGAAAATATGTTTGCGAAAGAGAAGATCAAGTGACTGTTTTGTGCTGGTAGACCACCCAAATTGTTGTCACTTGATCTTCTCTTATTCTTACATGAATACTGATATGTTACCATTTCTCAGGCCCTGCATTTAAGCGTTCCAGTGTCTTTTTATTTATCCATTATATAGGCGGCAAACGCAATATTTTTCAAAATAGCTATTGCCTTTTAGGTTCCATGTAAGTTCACACCGGCCAGGGGTTTCTGTGAATTTCCATGAAATATACACGGCACTGTCCAATTAAAATCATACTGATTCATCTTCTTTGCAGCCGTTCAGTACTTTTTTTGTCAAACTCAGACCTAGCGTGAGGGTATGAAAACCCCAACTGGGTCCCGTTAGACTACCTAGATAAAGACCTCAAGATTATGATGATCGATGATTAAAAGCACTGAGTGATATGGCTGTGTCGGAAACAGGGGTGGCCAAGCGTCTACTCATTATCTTTGCAACCTTCGACCACGTTAGTTCTGTATCTTTGAATTTTCTCTCGACATTCCATTCTTTCCTCTGTTCTTTTTTCCGAATGAGCAGCCAAAAGACAGTAACCAATACCGGCACGTGAAAATGTATGGTTACTGTTGTAAACACTGAAGTTGATTCTACTTTAAAATCAATAATTTCTCTCGGTGACAATATCAGTAGCACACTAATCTAGCCTATGAGAAGCAAATAAGCTGCTAATGCGATCCGTTGCCTTTACGTAACTTGCAGCCTTCCGAACCATAAAGATTATGATAGATATGAGAGTATTTCCTTAATCGGATAGCGTGACGCCATCCTACACTGAACTAATACGTGCAATGTACTAGAAATTTGCCACTAAAATAATTGCGAAGACCGCGAAACTGGTTTGGAATACATTCCCGTAAAATTTATCTGAACACCAGATTTCTGATACGTATTCCACAATCTTTCCGATGAGAAAACATTTTGAAGAACATTTCTTTTAAAGTTCTTGAATTCCCTTTAATAAATATAACATTTTTACGCAATATTATGAAGTGAACTTAAGATCTTTACGAGTAATTGTATTGTGTTCCATAGGCCTTTTATTACTTTTCATGCTGTGGTTATCTGATCGGGTAAAACAAAACGGCAGCCGAAGGTTAAACAATTTCCTATTACTGAAGCAGTTTGTGAAAACTCTTGACAAGTTTATCGTTAATGGACGAAGATTGTTTTTGATTCTGCAACCAGAAGCTCCCAGATAATTCATTTGTCGCTTTAGTCATTTACCAGTTGTTCTCCTAACTACTACCATTATTCTAAAACCGCAGCAAATCATTGGCATGCAGTTTTAAGGTGCAAAAGTTACGGGTTGTTGAAAAGCATTGTTTGTTTAGGTCCTCCTCTCTCCCACTCTCCCTCTCTGTCTTTCCGTCTCGCACCAAAGTTTGATTGTCGGTCATTGAGAAAGGGATTGACCAGAAGCACACCAAGGGAAATTCCGCATTCAGCGGTAATTTGATATGATTCTATCAGACGATCAATAGTTGGTCTGGGTAACTGATTTTCGCTCACGTTTTCCTCTGCTTATCGTTCCCCAAAGCGTTCACTTTGACTGTTGTTGAAGAGCACAGAAAGGGAAAATATGGGGACGAAATGCAAGGATTGGGACTGGCCCAAACCGAGTTCGCGTTTGATTCACCTCGGAAGGGGTTGGGTTAAGCAACCCGGTCAAAGTGGTTTAGAGAATGGGATTGACCGTTCCAGACTGTATATCTACCCGAAATATTTTATCAGACACAGCGCCAAAATGAAGCATTTATACGCTACGAAAATTTTGTTCTGCACAGATAAATGCTCACAAAGCCATAACGGGAAATCAAGATCTCAATGTTTTCACTCAAGTTAGACTACCTGTCGAGGCTGTGCAATGCTTCTTTCATGTTGCACCACAGAATGGTCCATTTCCCGGGGTGAATTTTCATTTTTAGAAATTTCCTGCTCCGGAAATCCGCTTTCCATTCAATATAAAGGCAATGATTCATATCACTTGCATGTTCTCGGTAAAAAAAGTTTGGTCAAAAAGTGAAAAATTTGTTCTGCTGATGAGAACATTAAGCCTTGCTGTAATCTGCATTCTCCACAGATCTCGCTATGCAGTTCCGATTGTTTGATGTGAAAGCAATGCACTTTCAATCGGACTAGCGGTTGTGATTAGCTTGTGGTCAGCGTGCCAATGTTGACTTTTATTCTCCATGGATATGGTTTGTGACCGGTGCCACTTTACTCGCTCCCCCTATACCTTGCGGTTCGCTTCTGCACGGAATAATTGTTTTACTCCATTGGTGTCAAAAATGGGTACTTGACTTATCACATACGTTCGCTGGCAAATTTACATCTCTAGCTCTATTCCCATTGGTTCTTATCCGTCGTGTATACAACTCTCAGTGAACTACCCAGGATACACTGAAGACAATGACCTTTAGTCTATTGATTACTGGAGATACGACGCATTTAGGTTCAGAGCTCGGAAGTTAAAGAAAAAAAATGACAAAATGTTTCTTTTCGGCTTTTCGTAATTTTACCGCATAGCCGAAGTAGATGTGTACACTGTACGAGATGGTTTGTCACTCATTAATCACAAACATCTTGATCACAATGTATGCTTACCAGTGAAAATTGAAAGCTCATCGGCTTGGTCTGCACTGAAAAAGTAGAAGCGTTTGGGCCGTCAGAGTAAGGAGATTGGCCAGCAAAGTTCTTAACAGACACAGAAATTTCGAGGATCATTTCTGTAGGATTGGTGCAAACCTTTGTCGCTTGTGTACAAAA